CTGGGACTACAGGCGTGCGCCACCATGCCCAGCTAATTTTTGTATTTTTAGTAGAGACGGGGTTTCACCATGTTGACCAGGATGGTCTCGATCTCTTGACCTCGTGATCCACCCTCCTTGGCCTCCCAAAGTGCTGGGATTACAGGCGTGAGCCACCGCACCCAGCTTCCTAATTAGTTTTTTTAGTGATTCTCAGATTAGAAAAATGTGACCCTTAGTTGCAGTTTTTGTCCACATTAATTTTTTATTATTGATTTTTTTATGTTTAGCTATCAGTTTGATATTGTACTACTAATATTCATTATAGACAGGATAAAAACTGATAAAAGTAATTTCTTGAGCATAGCATTTTAGTAGGGCAAAAGCATGGTATCAGATGTACTCCAGGGCAGATGTCCTGTTTGCTAGCCTTCGTGGTCAGTATGTCTTCACTTTCTCTTGATTTGTAGGCAGCATTACAGAAACAACAGGAAGTAGTAGTAGCTGGGTCTTCCTTGCCTACATCATCAAAAGTGAATGTAACTATACCAAGTGATATGATATCAGTTAATGGACAGGCCAAATCACACACTGACAGCTCTAAAAAAGAAGTGGAACCAGAAGCTGCAGAAGAAGCCGTAGAGAATGGACCAAAAGGTATGGTTTTGTTTATGTGTTTGTCCGGATGTCATAATTCCGAATCTGTTAAAAGCAAAGTCACAAAGTCAGGTTACAATTAGCTTTTGAGAACAATTACATATTTGTGAGAATTGAACATTTTTTTACTCTGAATCTGATGCTCTGGTGCCTCATAGATCAGTGTAGAAGAGCAAATCAGATGTCTTTGGACACTTTTAAGACAAAAGCTATGTTTTGCCTTATTTTATATATACATATAAATTATCTATTGCTGCATAACAAATTACAGGCCGTGCACAGTGGCTCATACCTGTAGTCCCAGCACTCTGGGAGGCTGAGGCAGGAAGAAGTGGTCAGGGATGGCAGTATGGTTCATGAGAAATTTGTTTTCAGAGATCTTCCTTGTCCTTTTAGAACCAGTAACACACAGTTGCTTCAGAAAAGGTTTTGGAATCCTTTGGTTTACTGCCCCACTCCCTGTTTTTTGGTTTTTTTTTTTTTGTTTTTTTAATCAAGGGATTATACCAGCATTTTCAAATGAGAGAAAATATTTCAAAGGCTTTGTGACTAACTTTGAGAAACTTATTTCGTAGCCAAGTGCACATAGATGCTGCTCAGCAACAAGACTTTACCCCTTTTTCTCAATCCCTGGTGGTTCTAATCCTGTCTGAGTTCTGTTTCTTTGAGTTCCATTGGAATAGCCCCTAGAACTTTGGAATGGTTGGAGGTCAAGACTTTTTCAACAGACAGGCTGAAGTCAAAGTCCAGTTTTCTTTGTTCACATCCAAAAGATTAATTTATTCCTAAAGCCAGATCACTCTTCCTTGCTAGAATATTTCCCTAACTTCAGTTGGGGCATTTCCAAAGTCATTCTTGAATCCTCTTATAGGGAGTGTTGAAAAAAATTGTTTCTATGATTGTGGGCTGCAGTTGTTACTTGAAGAAGTATGATGACCTCTGAGTGTGTGCAACATTGTTAAATGTGGTCATCTGGAGAGACTTGCATGGGGAGGCTTTTTTATTTCTCCAAGTCCTTGATCTAAGCTAGACCATATTGTACTTGGTGTCTAAGTATAACTGATCAGGTAGTCCTATACAAATCTGGCTACCTGCAGGGTAAAGACTTTTTGTCTTTAGCTTTTTAATTCCTGTTGCCTTTAGAATCTCTTCCAGTGATAGCAGCTCCATCCATGTGGACACGACCTCAGATCAAAGACTTTAAAGAGAAGATTCAGCAGGATGCAGATTCCGTGATTACAGTGGGCCGAGGGGAAGTGGTCACTGTTCGAGTACCCACCCATGAAGAAGGATCATATCTCTTTTGGGAATTTGCTACAGACAATTATGACATTGGGTTTGGGGTATATTTTGAATGGACAGACTCTCCAAACACTGCTGTCAGTGTGCACGTCAGTGAATCCAGCGATGACGACGAGGAGGAAGAAGGTAGAACCCTTGGTCCATATTTAGTAGCTGCTGGGTTATGTGTTGGCAGAAATGGTACATGGTTCAGGTGTCAGCTAGTCTTTTGCTTCCTGATTAACATTTCATGGTTAGGGAACACTGTCTTCGTTAGTGGGACCTTGGGCTGAAAACGTTGTGAGGCCAGGCTCCTTGTAGGGGATTGGGGCCTGAACAGATTTTTTTTTTGAATGCCAGGAAAATCTATTTGGCAGTTTGCTATTTTACTCCTTTCTGAATACTATTTACTTCTAACCCTGTGTGTTGAAAAGCCAAATATGCAAAATCACTTTGAAAAATTTTAAAGGAGCAAGAAAGAATTTTTTTTGTTTTGTTTTGTTTTGTTTTTCTTTTTTTTTTTTTTTT